TAAAATGATTTCATGACTCCAGAAACTTCCTAATATGATTACATAAATTAGGTAAATCAGAAGTCTTCAAGTTACCAGTACTATAAAAATCTCTGCCACATGTTAGCTTTATTTATTTGTTTGTTTGTTTGTTTATTTATTTATTTATTTTTAGGTAATTGGGGTTAAGTGACTCACCCAGGGTCACACAGCTATAAGTGTCAAATGCTTGGTCTGAGGCTACACTTGAACTCAGGTCTTCCTGACTTCAGGCTCTATCTACTACGCCACCTAGTTGCCCCCCATGTTAGCTTTATTGAAGAGTCATCTGCAAACATTTTGCATCCCACAAGGATTTTTGAGCATTCGCTCACAATATGTGCATGATTACTTATTTATAAGTTACATAGATATAAATTTTAAAACTTGCATAGAAAATGGGAATTAAATAGTTTAGATAAAGACATAACTAGTGTGTTGGCATAATCAGACTTGTACTTTTGGGAAATCACTCTGGAAGTTGGTAAAGGATCAATTGGAGAAGTAAGAGACAAGAAAAACTACTAGGAGACTATTATAATAATTCAGGCCAGAGTTGATGATGACCTCATTTTGGCCCACAGACCCTCTGAGGAGCTCTTGCCAAGTCCATGAAGTTATTTGGGGGATGTGGAGGGAGTGGGATGAAAGGTGCATTTTCCTAACGGTATCTGTTTAACCTTTGCTATATGTACTTGGGTACTTTGGTAGAAATTACATTATAACTGTCCTGAAGCCTGGTACCTGGTAAATTCACTTCAATTTCATTCAAGAAGAAAGGAGAAGAATAGGGGAGAGGAACAGGTGTGATCATGCTGGAGGAAAGTCCTATGATTGCTTAACACAGATAATACCCATTTTTCCATCTTTTTATTGGTCCATAATAAAATTAACTTTTGATGTCACTACTATAGATTATAGGACTTCTTGAAAAAAAGGTGAAAAATCCAGGAAAAAAAGTCAATAAAAACAATATGGATATTTCCATATATTCAGAAGTTTGGGCATTTCATAGATAAATATCAGTATGACTAACTGAATTTTTCAATTCTACATTGATATGCTTTGCCATTTTATATATGCAATCTAAAATGGACTTTAAAATATGTAAATCACATACCCTAAACATTATTTATCCCTATTATTTTCTTTCTTGTCATCTTTGCTTCTGTAATTTTCCCAATACTCTGTAATTTTGATTTTCTCTTTTCCTGCCATCTTCCTTGAAGTAGTAAATCATTCTCTGAGATGGAACAGCGAAGACATATTTTTCTGGCCATATGAATTCTTCTCTTCACCTCCATTCCTCTTAGGTACTAGAAATAGCCCAAAGATCATCTTGATTCTTTGATGCATGGAGACCCCCAAAGCAAGATATCACTTTAATACAGTTCACTGAATAATTCTTTTCAACCAGAGCATGCCTGAAACATAACAGCAGGGAATCAAAGGAAGGAATTTTTTATCTTCATCTTGTAAATTACATTCTTTAATTACAACTCCTAGGAAAATGAGGCATTTACCCAAAAAAATGGGGCTCCTGACAACATTTGATAATCTCTTGAAAAATCAACTGGAGGATTTCTCAAATTCATCAAAAGTTGACTTTGTGCAAGGAAAAAAAAAGTATCAGTACAGATTCCCCTCTGATTTTGCTGATAACAGTAATCATTCTGTACTCATAAGGCCCAAAAAGTTTACTTTATATTTGAATTGCTATAGTGAATTCCTTATGGAAAGAGGTTTAGTAAAGTTGCTGAAAATAGATTTACAAGGGAAAATCATTCTCCCCATATTTCCAAACAACTCAAGAATGGCAATGTTATGACATTTAACATGTGAAAATTCCTTTTTTTCACTCATCAACAATGGCCTGTGAAAACCGTTATATTCACAACAAGGAAAAAAAGAGGCTAATTCAAAATTCTATGCTCTGTTGAACCCAATATACACACTTTCCCCAAAGCAACAACAGACACCATGGAAATGCAATCAAGGCATCAGATCCACTCTAGCAAACGTGTCCTGCCAACCCATTATTAATGTTGCCTCTTAGGGAATTTCTATTTCCATATGAGCTCAGCCAAATATTGTTCACAACTACGTATTATCATATTTCTTTTACATTATATCTGTAGAAGAAAGAAAATTATGTGGTGGAGAGAGAACTCTATGGATGTCCTCTGATAAAGGAACTGAATTTAAAAAGAAATACAAATAAATAAACACACACACACATATACCAACACAACAGTATCTGGACAAATTTGAAGTAAGTTTAATATGCTGACACTAATCGATGGCAAATTTGATAGGTTATAGATAAGTGAGTTGTCTCTGTGAGAAGGAAGTCTATGGATTCATTTTCCTGAATTCCTTTCCATGCCAATCACGGGCACAAGAGTGAAATGCTGGTGAACGGGTACAGCTGAATTAAGCCATTGAAAGCAGGAGTGGGAGCTTAATTGTGTTCTCTTGCATCTTTTCCTACTGCAAAAGAAAAGCATTATTGTTCTTCCTGAAGGATTCCCTTTCACGTTTCAAGAAATCCTGCCAACTTAATTGTGAAAGTCACACTGCAAACCCAAGTGAAAGTAAGGGAGTCTAACATCTCAGCTTTGTTTGTGGGTTTGTTTTGGGTTTCTTTCTTTCTTTTTTTTTTTTTTTTTTTTGGTGAGTGAAGCCCTGAGGAGTGCAAGAGATTCTAAATCTAATAAGCATCACTAAGCATGACACTTAAACTTTATTCTGCAAGTGGCTTCACACAAGAAAAGAAGATGAGAAATAGGAAAAGTATACTTTTATGGTTTAAATGAATGTTACACTGAAATCTATTTATGAATGTTGCCTAAGTATGCATTCTATGAAATTACACTTGTTAAATGCATCAGAGGATCTGAACTTCAGAGAGCAAATCTTATCTGAGGCAATAATATAAAAGTCCACTTTCACAGATGAATGGATGCGTTGGATTTTTTTTTTAAAGCACTTTCCTTAATGTGACCTAATTAAGGGTGTAAATTAAAAGGGATTTTGTGTCATAAAACTGTCAAATCTCAAATATAACTTTTTTAGGATTTGAAAATAGCCTACGTAAAATGAGAGAATCTTTTCAGTGACTCTCCAAGGCAAGGACACACTAAAAGGATTTTCATGGAGAAACTTTAAGTCTACTGGTTGGTTGAGGTTGGACTACATTCGATTTTAGTAGGGACATAACATTACTCCATAAATGAAAAAGGGCATTAATTTTCAACCCTGAAATTGTCTGTACTTAACAAAATTTGGTAATTTGACTGCCAGGGAACATTTCATATAGCCACTGTTAAAATCTCTTTTTAATAAGGACAGAATCTGTCCATTTCCTTGGACTAAAAAGGTAGAGAAAATGTAGAAAGTTTTAAGCATTCCCAGAAGACTCCTTTCTATAACCAAACAAATTTAATTTTATAGTCACAATATGTATCTATATAGAATATCGGCTTTTGGCATACAGAATGTGACTAGACAGAACCACTCTATCATTTCAACTTTTCCTTTAATCAGATTTCATTTCTTAACACTCCTGCAAAAGGATGAACCGTCGGGATTTGGTTTTTGTTTGTTGCAAAAGTCTGGAAAACCAACCCTACAGAAAATATCTAAAACACACTGGATATGCATAGGAGACACTGTGAAATGTACAAGCCAACAGTTTTATTTGGTAATAAATCCAGTCTTTTGGCATAATTGCCATATGGCACATTGGATTTGTTGTTGTTGTTGTTTAACTGACTTCCATTAAAACAAGTTCTGAATGCCTCTTCTTCGTCCACACAAGATATTTCCAGTAGGGTAAATGCAACTGAGCAAATCATACAAGGTGAGAAATATAAATGACTCTCTAAATTAATCAACCTCCCAGGTGAGCAGAGATTTTAGAGAATTTTTTAAAATGTGTTTTTCCCCAAAGACAGCTACCAAGGATACAGGTAATATTTAACTGAAGATAAACCTGGACCAGGCTCCTAAATATTTATATTTATGGCACATTTATACCTTTAAACTGCAGTCCTAACTACCTTTTTTCTAACAAGTAATTTTCTGGATGTCACTATAATCTACTAGGGTCAGCATCCAAATGTCCAAGCGTTTTATTTAAATTAGTTTATTTGGTCAGTAAAGAGCTCTCTGACCTGGCATGCATCACAAGATTATTAATTTGGTTGTACTTGAAATTTAAAGCATCTTTTCTGCTGTAGCAGGTGGTGCATAAGAGTGAGTTAGGGCACAAAGCTGTGTAGGATCACGTTGAGAATATATCAAGGAGAAACAGAATTCCCTTTCAGAAAATTCTACTGGATAAATAAAAGATTTATAACCTAAATTCCAACATGGGCCTGAAGTTCCCATAAAGGATAGGGGATATCTCTTGATTTTCATATGGCCTTGTGTTTTCTGGGACTTAATACAAAATAAGTAATATGATTGGGGTAATATGCATAGTGAACCAACAGGTTTCTTTCTATCAATAACCACATTAATTAAGTCCTTCAAATGTGAATGGTGAAACCCAACCATGGCAATGGCTGTACCACCATTACCATTGTAAGCACAGATGAATTATTCCCTTTCCTTTATTATCTTCCTTTTAAAAATCTGACAAATTATGCATATGTATATGTAGGTATACACACATAGTACATGTATACTTATATCTTTTCTTTTACTCTTCTATATTACTAGTCTACATGTAAGGTGGGTAAAATTTTCCCTAACAGGTATAAGAACAAAAGATGCTTGCAACTGAAAAACTCTGATGAAAAGCAAGATGGGACTGGTTACTTGGAAATGTAGGCTAGTGATAGGGAAAAAAAAGTAAACTAGAATGTTTTCACTTCCTTGGAATTCAGAACTCACTCTAAGGCTACCTCATAAAATCAAAAGGAAGGGGAGAACGGAGGTATTCCCCTTATATAGCAGAGAATTCTATGATTATTTAAAGGAAAACCATATTTCAGAAATGCTAAGTCATTAGTTTGCTGGGAACCAGAGGAAGTCTTTTAGAAATGGCCAAGAGATCCTTAAAACTTCTGAGGTGACTTTCAGACTCCTTGGGTGAGTTTGCCTATGATAATGTTAAATAATGATGGAGAATTTGCCCATAATTTGGACAAGTTTTGGTAAGTCCAAAAAGCTTCAAGATAGGGAGGATGAGCTGACCTACGGCCAGGAAGAGAGGTGCCTCAAATATCTAAATATGATCTTGTGTGAATTTAAATTCCCTTTATTCAGTTGCTCTTCAATTTTCCTTGCTTACCAGATCTGTAAATGTTTAAGTAGAAAGTGAAAATAACAACAACAAAATAATTGGGCCATATCCATTTTGCTCTTTATTATATAACATCCATTTATATATAACATCCATTTAAAATATAACATCCACTTGATCCTGAAGAGGAAAGATAATCCAAAATTATCACAGAAAGTGAGAAGAGATTAAAAATATATGATTTACTCAGCTCCATATCACTCACTAGTAAATGAACTGAGACCAAAAACGAGGACTTCTAATGTCCTTTTCTACTAGACTGTTGCTTCTTTTGCTCAAGGACACATAATGGTCCTGTTACTGATACAGTAGGTCTTAATAAATGCTTACTGACTGACTGATAATCTGTCTTCATGATTGTCAACATAAACACTGGTGGTTATTAACAATTTAGACTTAACAAGTTTCTATGTGATTATCCATAGAGCATGCTTATAATAAATTACTTTTTGAAATTAGAAAATCATTTTTTTCTTTTTGTATACAGATGTCCTATGTGTGCAGGTACATTTCACTGTGAATCTGCTGTTTCATTGGCCTAAAAAGGGCCTAGACAGCATATGACATTATAGAAAGTAAAGTAGATCATGGAGTCTGATGATCTGTTTGGGAAGCTCAGTTGACTTCATTTTTGGAGCCTGTCTGATTATCCATAAAATGAATAGTTTGGAGATGACCTCTAAAGCACCTTCTAGCTCTAAATCTATGATTTTATTTTAGTCCACACCCACGTTATTTCCCAAGTTGGTTGTAATTTAGTCCTATAACCTGTTGTATACAAGACCTATTCTAATAAATTACCATATTTGAATTCCTAAACATTTGAAAAAATGGTAATCATGAGGTATGGGAATGAGGATAGAAGACCAAAGAATAGTCCGACATATTGGGGAAGAAGAATGAAAGGGATAATGTAATTATTGTGCTAGAGAAAACATTGACAGTCATGGTTTTAGACCTGGAAAGAAACTTAATGGTCATCTATTTCAACCCTCTCATTTTACAAATAAGGAAACTGAGGGCATAGAGAAGTTAAATGGCTTGACTCAAAATAGATAAGGGGCAGAGCCACTAACGCTTTTTTGTGTTTTTTTTCCCCCCACTGTACCATGCTGATTCATATGTGGTGGTCATCTATTTTAAGGGAGAAATATTTGTTTTGTGTTCTAACTAGGGGACAGAAATGAGGTGGCTCTTCCTCGGGTCCTTCCAATCTATCTAAATAATGTTCTAGATCAGAACTCATCTATCTTTGCACAACATCCTTTCTGCTAGGTTTCAGCTTTTTTTTTGTTTGTTTGGTTTTTTATTTTTGTTTTTACCAATTTATTGAAGGTCAATAAGTAGTCATGATTATAGAACATAAACCAACACAAGGAAATTACTGAGTAACTATCTGGTACAGAAGACTATATTAAACCTAGAAGGAAGAAGATAAAAGAAATAAAAGCAAAGGAATTATGGGAGGAAAAAACATAATGAATAAAGTTACTTGTCCTTAAGATGTTCATCATGTAGATGGGGAAAGGGAATCATGAAACAATTTGAAAGAATCACAAGTAATAAACAGTACAGAATGGCTATAAGTAGAATGTAAATGTACTTATTTGACATAAACAAATAATAAGAGTGGATCAAATAAAATCATAGAAGACTACCTGCAGGAAATCAGTTCTGAGCCAATGACCTCAAGGAGGCAGGATTCAGTAGTATGCAAGAGGGTGAGACTTAGCAACGTACACATGTCAAAAACATTTTTCTCCTCAGTAAAGTGGAAGGCATAGGTTGGAAATAATATTTATAAAATACGTTGAGAAGAACAGATGGGTGGAGCAGTTGAAGAAAGCCAATGAAAGGTCAACTGGTTACAGGAAACTACTATAGGTTATTTAAGAAGGAAAAGAAATCATGAAAACACTTTTTTGAGGAAGATTACTTATTTAGCTATAAATGATATTGTCCTAGAAAACAGAGAAGATAGGTAGAAAAGCTATATATCTGTTTCAAGAAGGGTCAATAACTACAATTAATTTCACTTCTTATAAACATCATTTTACTCTACACTACTGAATTTTCTCATCACTGTATCTGAATATGTATTACTCATAGTATCTGCAACATTAAATTGGCAAGATTTTTTTGCTTTTTCCTTAAAAAAAAAACAAACCATTTTTCCCCCCTTTTCTTTTTAGGCAATGGGGTTAAGTGACTTGCCCAGGGTCACATAGCCAGTGAGTGCTTTGTGTCTGAGACCAAATTTGAACTCAAGTCCTCCTGACTCCAAGGCCGGAGCTCTATCCACTGCACCACCTCACTGCCCCTTTCTTTGCTTTTTCCTAAAAATAAGTTTCAACTCATCTTACTAAGTCACCATTGAAAAAAAATTATCATCATCTGTCTCAGATGTTGTTACATTAACATCCCAGCCATCACAGAAATCTACTTGTGTTATTTTGAAGTAAAAGACTTAGACAGGGGTAAATTAGAAGATGCTTGCTCCCTGAAAGCCATGTGAAATCTGGACTGCATACTAAAAATCAGAGACATCACCTTGCTGACAAAGGTCCATATAGTCAAAGCTATGTTTTTCTCCCCAGTAGAAATGTATAGCTGTGAGAGCTGGACTACAAGGAAAGCTGAATGCCTCAGAATTGACTCTTTCAAATTGTATTGCTGGAGATGTTTAGGAATCCCTTGGACAGCAAGGAGAATAAATTAGTCAACACATAAATAAACTAATTCAGACTCTTCACTAGAATGCTGAAGGTGAAGCTTAAATACTTTGGCCACATAATGGGAAAACAAGATTTGTCGGGAAAGTTTGGAGTAAAAAAGGAAAAAGGGGATGGCAGAGGATGAGATAGACAGATAATGTCATGGAAGTAGTGAACATGAGCTTGGAGGACAGACTCTGGGCTATAGTGGACCACTGAAGGGCCTGGAACAGTATGGTCTATGTGGTTATGAATAATTGGGCATGATTAAATAGCAATAAATCTAAATATCACCTTGCCTTCATGGCATGATAGTTACATGATTACTGCTATATGCACATAATAGCCCTAATACAAATGCTTAACTAGAAGTACCCTGAAACTGGGAATTCAAAAGATCTAGATTCGAAGCCTAGTTTTCCTACCAACCAGCTCTGAGATCTTAGGCAAAGAACTCTGCTGTTCTTCAGGTTCCTCATCCTCTAGTTTAGCAAAATGGTGCGAGTAAGTAGGAAGAAGTTTGTTCTACATGATCTAGACTACCTAAGGAAATTAAGGTTCAAAGGCCTCCATTTATTATACTAGTCACAGGACTGTTCTAAAAATCAAATGAGATCATATTAAGATTACAGGTTGATAGAACTGGCACTGAACGTGACTCCAGAAGCTAACTAGGACAATGCTTTCTTTTTACATATAAGGAAACTAAGGCAAAGACAGGTTAACTGATTTGTCCAAAGCCACAGATTTGACCCCAGCTCCTCTCACCAAAGAGCCAGCACTCTCTCAACTGTATCTCACAAAATAGAGGTAAAGTGCTTCGCAAATACTGAAATATTATATAAATGAATAAAACTAAGAAATTATTTTTATTTCTCTTACCATCACTCTCTCCCCTGCTTCATCTCTCTCCTCCTCCACCCTCAATTTTTTAGTTCCTCTGTTTTCTCAATGGCAAATAGTTAGAACTCACTGTCAGAACTGGAAAACTCAGCCAATGTCCTTTATAAAAGAAACTAATGAGGATCCATCTAAGGTTGGCCTTCATGATTTCAAAGTCATCATGGTATGGAGAGGTCATCTGTTCTAATTCCCACCTGTACAAGAATTCTAAGAACAAATCCCTGACCAGCAATCATCAACCTTTTGTCTAAAGACTTTTAGTAAGTGGAAACCTACTACCTCTCAAGGCAGTCCATTCCGCCTTGGGCAAGTATGGCAAGTAGGTGGTGCCAGATGCTAAACTTGGAGTCAGGGAGATCTTAGTTCAGGGGCAGCTAGGTGGCACAGTGGATAGAGTACTGGCCCTGAAGTCAGGAGGACCTGAGTTCAAATCTGGCCTCAGACCAAACACTTGACACTTGCTAGCTGTGTGACCCTGGGCAAGTCACTCAATCCCAATTGCCTAAAAAAAAAAATCTTAATTCAAATTTTGACACAGATACTTATTTGCTGTGTGATCCTGGGCAAGTCCTAAATTCAGTCTCAGATTTATCATTTGCAAAATGTAGATAATAGCATCTATGTTGCAAGGTTGTTCAAAGTTGTTATGAACTTGTTGTGAAGTCCAAATGAGACATTATATTTAAATTAAAATTTATTATTATATTTAAAGCACTATTTAAATACTAGCTATTATTTCTAATTGTTAGCCTAAATCTGTCTGTCCTACTTTCCTTTTCTACCCTCTGGAGTCAAGCCAAAGAAATCTAATCCTCATTCCACATGCCAGTATCCTTTTCCCTACTCCCTGATTCCTCCCCAAGGTTTTCTTTTTTCTTACATTAAACACTCCTAAACTCTTCTACCAAAACTTGGATGGAATTATCTTCAAGGCCCTTCACCAAGCTAATCATTCTCCTCTCTAACTTGTTACTCTTAATGAAAAGGTCAGAGTTGGGGTAACAAAAGTAAACCTGAGCTTGGACTACCCAAGGCTTTGTGTATCTTACCAAAAGCAAGATAAAGACATTTTCAGGATGGTCATGCTTGTAAGGTGACTGCTGGTGACAGCATTTTCTCCCAAGAACCTGGGAAATCAGAGATACAAATAAACAATGGCATTTTTCAATCAACAGATCTGTTTCCCTCCCCCTTCAAAAAAAAAAGTCAAAACCATCTTCTCCTCTTTGCAAATGGCTGCATTATGTGATGTCCCCAAAAATATCTTTGAGGGAAATGTTTGAGTCAGTCACTCTTTTTTTGAGGCAACTGAAAACCAAACCTGCCAATTTCACAGACTGTTTCCATTGTCTGTCTTTTTTAGATTGGTTTTATTACTAATAAACTTAAAATCAGGATGGTATGATGGTAAGAGAACTAAGCCAAGCTAGATATAGGAAAAATTTTCGTTCATATGTAGTCTCTGACACTTACAAGCTGTAGTGCCCTTAACAGGTAGATCAATGAATCTCTCTGAATTTCACGTACCTTCTAGTGTAATAAATCACTGGATTCTGTTTGCAGAAGGAATTTCCAAATAGGCAGCTAACTCATGAGAAAATCATCTATCATAATCATACTACAAATGATATTTTTAACAAACTTGATTACTCTCTTTTTAAGCTTGCAAGGGCACAATCCACACACCTTCTCCATCATGGAGTAGCTTGCAATAATATCTAAGTACTGAGGGCAGAAGAGTTTTGAAACTTTTGAACAATCATTTATGAAACAGACCTACTCACAGGAAATATTGCAATGGCTATTATTCATGCAGCAAAATTTCTGTATGAAGTATTCCCCATTCTTCTCACTTATGCCCCAAGACCTGTCTTCCCTTATATAATGCAGTTACATGAAGAAAAGAGATATAAAGAATTAATGGATTAAATATTAGTATTCCTATGTCATTTATTTAAATTCCTTAAGAATGTGTATACATATACGTATGTGTGTATGTGTGTAATACACACAGGTATTTTTAATCAAACCTGTGATTCCTTGGTGTAGGGCAGGGCTTTTTAAACTTTTTCCATTCATCACCCCTTTTCCCATTTTAGCAGAGTCCTTGGTGTTGCATGGCCTGAGGGCATGTGCCGTGCAAAGTGCTCATGCTTTGTGTTCAGCATCAAGGTTGCAGTGAAGTTGCCTAATCTAATATGGGGAAGTGCTGCCAGATACCCCTCAGATTCATTATGTGCTTGATTTTTAATTAATTTTTGGTGATAGGGTGTTCAGAAACCTTTTACTGTTGCCAAATTTTTCATGACCTGACCCACAATTTAAGAAGCACTGTATATCTAAAGAGGTTGGGAGCAAATAAGTTATAGCCACGTTTTTATTTCTAAGAAGAAATATGAAGCCCCAGAGTGAAGCAAATAGAAACAACTCTATTATTTGGGACATACCTACATCTGTGATTACAAAAGCTGCTTTATGGGCTGTTTCACCCATTTAGAATGCTAGTTGGAAGAAGGTGTTTGACTTATGCTAAGATCTGGATAAGTACTTTTCTATTCTATTCCATGTCTAATCTGAGCATGTCTCTCTACTCTTAGGTAGTTCTTGCTCCTGCCGATTACTTCTAAGATGTACTTATTTCTAATGTGTATGTGTACATGCCTTAGTGTACCTCCGCATGCTGTTTTAGTGATTTGTCATAGGCTCATTTTCATACAGATGGAGAACAAATCTGAATCACTAATTTACTTTATATTCAGTAGTTCCCTTGGTTGGACAAGTAGAAAAAAAAGAAAAAGAGTAAAGCAGAGAGGCTAGGTTGAAAGAGATGATCCATTGCCTCTTTACTCCAAATCTGTGCTGCTACACAAGAGTACAATGCCAGGATATAATTCTAGCCAGGCTTTCTTAAAAAAACAAAGAACAAACAAACAAACAAACAAAAAACCACGAGAGGTATAGATAGGGATAATAGCTTCCACCAGGCCCCTTACTTACTCACTGTAGTGTTCACAAATCTCACTGTCAAGAAATTCTCTCTTGTTTCTAAGCCATCATGCAGTTAGAATTAATTTCCTCTTATTCTGTATTCAGTTAAAATATAGAACAAGTGGTCATCATCCTCTATATAATTACCTTTCATTTATTGAAAGACTTATTAAGTCATACTACAGTCATCTCTCTATATTAAATAATATGAGTTCCTGTAGCCTTGTCTTATACCTTAGTTTTCTCTACCCTTTAATCATTCTCCATGGGCCAGATTTCTCATTTTCTTAAGTTAACTCCATCACTCCAGAAAGGCTTTGCCAGAGGTGAACATGAAGTAAAGGTTATTCATTATATCAATATCCTATATTCTTATGCATGTAATACCTTTACATTTAAAGCATTTTGAATTATAGGGAATCCCTCTACTGCCCCCCAAATCCTTCAGAATCATGTGTTAAATTTATTTTGTTTTCTTTTCATGTTGTATGATTCAAAATCCTATTGAAATCAAGTTAACCATAAATAACTACTTAAGGAAAGTAGCCATTAAGTTTCAGATGAATCTTTTGGATTATAATAGGATTTTCAAGGTAAAAATCAATTTGTTGAAAAACACAGTATTAGAACTCTCACACTTTGATGAGTGAACTAGAATAGCCACCAGAGCTATTTCTTCCCCAACCGATCCAGCCCAAACCCCGTCTGTCCAGAGAATAATAATGGGCTCTGGCAGGAGAACAACTATGAAATTCTTTCCCCACTGACCTTATCATGACCCTTGTCTACCTACATCCCATCAAAATTCCTCTTTCCCAACAATCCAGTCCCACAAAAATACCTTCGGGCCTTGTCATCAGCTGTACCTATGCAATCAAAGCACAACTAGGCCTTTCTATCTGCCCTTTGGCTCAATTTTTCTGTATGTGTTGACTTCTTCAACTAGAATGTGAGTTCTGGGAACAAGGACTGTCTCACTTTCCTTTGTGCATTCCCAGTGCTTAGCACAATGCTCGATATATAGTAAACACTTAATAAATGCCTTTCACTTCCATTTCATTAAATGAAAATTCTATAACGTAATCTCTATAACCCATTATTATTAAAAGCTTTTAAAAATCCCTCATAGCTTTATTTCAACTCATCTGTTTTTTAATCTTCAGTATCAATCAAAAATTCTTTAACTAAATAAATTTGTATAACATAAACAGAATTTTCTCTTCTTAAAATAGTATGCACTATGTTATAATTAAGCATTTCCCAATTTACAAAGATTTTGTGTTCCAAACAGTCATTTGTTTGGCTCTTGGAAAATATCTTCCAATAGAAACAACATTTATAAATGATGGTTAGCTTTCCAAGTTAGCCCACAAAGTCTTAGCCCACAAACAAAGCTGAACAGCAGAACTAACAGATTTCGCCTGAATCTGTGGTCCTGGGTGCTCTGGAAGTTCAAGAATGCTACAGAAAAGAAAAAGAACTTTCCTTCTCATGTAGGGGCAACCCAATTTGAAATAAATGTTGTGTTTTCCACATTTCTCATCTCTCTTTTTGTATCCCTCTTTCCAGATAACCATACTCTCATAAGGCTCCAAGATGCTCATATGTAACCCAACCTTATCTCTAATTAAAAGGCTATCTGCTCTAAAACTGCCTATTTCAAATTTTGTCATTCCCCGCCCCGACAAAACACAAACACACGCACGCGCACACACACACACACACACACACACACTCTTTAATTTCCTCAGTATAGAATATGTGGGTCATGAGATATGTTAGAAGAAATCTAACATGATTTAAACTACTCACACTAATGTGAGAATGATTAATAGTGTCAAAATTCTATCAGATGTACTGAATGTTTAAAAGGAGAAAGATAACTCAAATAAATCTGTAACTGATGGAATTTCAAGCATTATAATGAAGTAAAGCGAAAATTTTTTTCAGGCAATTTGGACACTAATAATATTAACAATATCTAGTTTTTATGGTACTTTAACATTTACAAAGTATCTTATGATTATGTTATCCTCAGAACAACCATGCGATGTTGGTGCTATTATTATCTTCATTTTATAAACAAGGTACCTGAAGCAGGAAAAGGTTAAATGACTCGCCCTTGGTCACAGAGCTAGCAAGTATCTGAGGCTAATTTTAAATTCAGGACTCTCTTATTCAGGGTCAAGTACTAGCCTATTTATTTTGAAGTTCATCAGGTAAAAGGCCAATCTAACTGAGGATTCACTCCTCCCTAACTAGTTCTACCTTTTAATAATTTGTCTTTTCATTCACATCTGAACCCAAAGATTTTCTAAAAGTTTTCTTTCTTTCTAAAAGAAAGTTCCAGCTTTCTTTAGGGTGGGGTAGGGTAGAATAGGTAAATTTACTGAAATCTGTATCATATCTTAAGAGTAAACATGATGTTATGGGATCTTCTTTAGCATGCTGTTGTTTCTCTAAATCTGAGGATATCACAAAGGTATTCTCATCAAAGCAATTAGGTTGTTATGTAGACTCTACATGTGACATTTGATGTAATACATTAGTTAAACTGTAGCCCTGAAGGCTTGTGGGAATCAGACTTCCAAACAAATCCTGAGTTCCCATGTCCCCTGAATCTACACCTTCAGGATATGCCTCATCTGTGCTTTTAAATAATGAGATGGAGCACCATCAATACTGATTACCATCATAAGGGGGTGAGATAATTTTACAGGAAAGAAATATATAAAGAAGAACTTCCAGTGCCTAAAAAGGGACATTTGGATATTCTGAATTTTTTCCACAAGCCTAGACATGCCAATCAAAGATAACACAATGCAAGAATCTCTGAGTGACACTTCAGGCTGCATTCATAAGCAACCTGCCTCATTCAAAGTCAATGAAGAGACAGGACTTACAAGACTATCCTGAAAAGTTATTGAAATGTGACTGACATCTCAAAAGAAGGGTGTCAACGGGATAGCATGACCCTGTGCTGAAACACTGCAAGGTTAATCAAAGTTATGGCAGTCGGGAGCCACAAAGACCTCCCTTAGATTTAAGGGTTTGCTGTTTTTTTTTTTTAAACTCACACAACTCAGTGGGTTACTATCTCCCTTCAACTCAACTCTCTCTCCCACTGGCAATTACATCC